AATAGGAAATAGTACCCTATATCCTTCTTTAGTTAGACCCTTACTAGTTCTAAACTTAACTAGGAAATCTATAATAAAGAATTATTTATAATAATCTGCGCCTTTAAGAAATAGCGTGCTAACCTAATAAGTACTTAGCACCTTATTAGAGTATACACAGACTATAGAGTACTAGAGTACTTTATATCTACTAAAGTCCTTAGTGCTAGGCAAGCTAGATAGCTAGAGGTTATAAGTCCCTTTAACTTCTAAATTAAGTATACTCCTAGATCTTATAACGCCTAAGCTAATATCCTAAGTAGAAGGGAACAGGATATAATTAACCTAAAGACTACTTAAAGGGATAATTACTTATAAGTAATAATCACCCTAGATAGGTTATACCCCTAAATTAACTCTAACTTAGCGCAAGACTACCTAGCTAAGCGTTCCTTACTAATCCTTGCTTTAATTATAGCAGTTTAGAACCCTATAACTCTTAGATCCCTAGAACTTATTAAAACTCTTCTCTAAGAAAATAGGTCCTTATTCCTAATAGAAAGATTAGAGTTGCCTAAGCACTATTAGATAGAAAATAGACTCCTTCTCTACTAGAATTAACTTTACGTGCCTACTAGATTAGTCCTATATACTAGACTAATTTGTAAGGCTTATAATTAAGTGTCTACTACCTACCTATTAGCCACTAAAACCTATTAGATTCTAGCCTAATATTACTACTAAAAAGGTATAGAGACTACCTATAAACGCTCTATTTAGAATTGTATCCTATATAGGAGAGGGCATATAAGATAGCACTAACTCCCTAGCATACTCTACCCCCTTCCTATCCCTAGTCTACTAATGCAACACCTATACATTAATTTTAAGGATTTTCCCTAGGATTAACGTAGTTATAATTAGATTATAGTTATTATTAATCGCCTATTAAAGCAAGCTATTACTATCCCTTGCTATAAAACTATAGACGCCTAAGGTATAGCTACCTTATTTGTCTAGTAGGTGTACTAATTTAGATATACTCTAGATACTATTATTTCTAATTAAGGCCCTTAGTTTATATCTAGTTTCTAGTCTAAATTCTATTAGATTATAGGCACTAAAGTTAAGCTCTCTACTGCCTACTATAAATAAACTAATAGACAAACTAAGATTATAAACAAGTATATTAATTAGAGACTAAGGCCTTTTGTATCCTATTACTAAGATAACTAGAGCAACCTGCTACCTATAATAGACTGTGCCTAAAGTACTCTTCTATATTTATCTATTAGCATAGCTCTATATTAGCTCCTCTTTAGCTCCCTACTAAAGTAAAGTTAGTATTAGAAACTAGAAAAGACCCTATCTACTATACTAGAGAAACTAAACCACAAGGACGCCTTATCCCTTACTACTTAGATGCACAACGCCTAGAAGATTACTAAAGAAAATATAGAAAGAGCTTAAGACTAAATGCGCTCTGCTACTAATTACTATTATTATCTAGTTAACTAGAAGGTTAGTAACTATATTTATCTATCTACTACTAATCTTGCTATTTTATAACCTAGCTAAAAACTATCTAAATAATAGGAAGGTACCTTTAAGGTATTAGAACAAGTAGGAAACGTGTATTGCCTCTAATTACTACCTAGTTCTAAGATCTATAACGTTTTCTCTCCTAATATACTATACAAAGATCCCTAAGACCTGTTACCTAGATAAGAGGCTCTAAAACCCCCTAGTACCCCTATATAAGGTGTAGAGGAATAGGAGGTAGAAGAAATCCTAGCTAGCAAATTATATTAATCTAAGCTAAAATATAAGGTTAAGTAGGTTAGACACAATCCTAATCCTATTTAGTATCCTACCTCTAACTTTATAGGTGCTCCCTATAAATTACAGGCATTCTACTAATACTATCTAAATTAGCTAGGTCCCCTACGCAGCTTACTAAAATAGATTTAAGCCTAGGAAAAAGGTAAAGAGGATCTAATATTACTTTATAATAATTATACCTAATATTAGAACTAATTTATATCCTATTTAGCTACGCATTATCTATTAACTCCTATCTATTACTATTATTCTTATTGCTATTTATTATTACATCCTATTTAGAACCTTTAAGGTTCCTAGGACACTACCCCTAGGAAACCTCTTTATTCTATATCTATCTCTCTATTAGAACCTAGTTTAGACTCTGTATTAGCTAAGATAGCGCCTAGACTATCCTTCTTTACTAGCTTCTAGATAGCTAGTGTAGCTAGTGCAGGAGCTAGTACAGGAGCAGGCGTAGGAGCTAGAACTAATTTAGACGCCTTCTTATTAAGCGCCTTTATCTTAGCCTACACTATAAAGGTTACCTCCTAATTTAGCGCTATTTCCTCTTTAAGTTTATTAATAGCCCTTATTAAGCCCCTAACTACTAAGACTATCTTATAAATACTATTCTAAAGCTAATATAAATTAGATGTAGTAGTATAATAGGTAGCTATAAGGATTTTAGTAGCTTTTATACCCTTAGTCTAACTATTAGTAATAGTAACGCACTTAGTAAGGTTTTAGGTAGTTTCTTAAATAGTAGCCTTAAACTACTTAACATCCTTCTAATAAGCGACTATAGCTTCCTTATCCTTATCCCCTTTAGAAGGGTTAGCTACTAGGCTGTAGTACCTATCTAGAGCACCCCTAAGGGTAGAGTACTCTTAGCTAATAAAAGAAGGAATCTGCTAGGATTAGTAAAGGAACCCTATTAGACTTAGATACTTACTAGATTGTAATACTTATTCTAGGAGATACAGTACTAGCACTTCTTAGAATTCTTTAACTTAAAATTAAAATTATTAAACCTACCCCTAGCTAGAGCCCTAACTGCTCTTATATAGAGAGCGCGATAAGCAATAGGGACAACTCCTAGTAGTACTAGTACTAGCATAGCTAAAGGTTCTAATTTAGATTAGTAACTGTTTAATTATATAGATTAAATACTTACTAGATTTTAGATAGATTAGGTTAAATAATTAAAAAATTAGGGATATAGGAATAAGAAAGTTAGTAGGTAGAGGGCTAGTTATAGGCAGGCTAAGGATAGGGGTCCGTGCCCTAGGAAGAAGAAGTGAAGGTAAAGGTAGAGGTAAAGGTGGATTTTTTTTTGTAAAAAGCTCTTCTTTAATAAGGGATCTAAACCTAATCCTAAGGATAGGGACTATCCTTTCTCTATAGGAGGGGGTAGTGTAATAATAAGGTAGAATTGCCTGCCTATTATTCTATGCCAAGTTAGGCCTAATAAAGGCCTAACTCACTAATATATATAGAGAATAGCTCGCCTATAGTTAGGATAGGCATGTTCTTCTTGTCCTTTTGTACAAGACCTATAGGTGTAGGAATCTTATCCTTTTCTGTACAGACGCGCACTCCCATATGCCTTTGAGTCGTATAGGATACCTTTCGGATGCCCTACCTACCTAAGTCGTTACAAGGCTAGCCTGCCTAATTATCTACCTCCTCTAGCTCTACCTTACCCCCTAGCTCCTACGCTAGGTTTAGTCCTCCTTACCTACTAGACTCCTTATATTACTCTACTATAATATAAAGCTAATTAAAGATATTAAGCTTTTTATATACTGTTTTATATTATAGATCTTATCTTTACTAATAATATTAACTATCTTTTAAGCTTCTAACTATTAAAGCTACTCTAGATCTTTCTCTTTATAGAAAAGATCCTTATTAAAGGTAACATTCTGCGTTATAATAATCTAATTAAGTAAGGGGATCTATATCCTATATATATTAGATACTCTGTATCCTACTAGATATCTAATATAACCCTAAGGGTTTACCTTAAAAACCCTCTTATAACGCCTAGCTGCTTAATCTCTATTAAGGGGGTAAGCTTAACAGCTATAGGCGTATATTCCGCTCTAATTAGGGCAGAGATTAGTAGTTGCCTCCCTTATCTGCTCTAGTTGCCACTACCTAAAGTATCTAGTAAACTAACAATCTAGCACTTTGTTAGGTAATATTATATTATAAGCATAGGACAGGCTTATATTATAGAGCTAAGTCGCTGCTTTAATAATTTTAGGCTAGAGCTTTATTAGTAGGTTAGCACTAATCCTTACTTTAATTAATTTTATTATAATCTCCTACCCTACTCTTTCTACTCCTCTATTAGGTATATAGGTATATACAGGTAAGCTCTTAATTTTAATACTATTATTAGCTGCCTAGATCTAAAAGCGAGATTTGCTACGCTAAGGGAGCGTTGCAACGTTATTATCTTATATAATCTTAACTATACTAAGCTTATATTAGTTAAGTATTAAGCTCTTAAAATTTTTAAATACCCGCATAATCTTATTAAGGTTTTTAGCTTACAGTAGATAGGTATAAAGCTTTCCTAAGTAGTCGCACTTTAATACTAAGATCTATTACTTATAAGCTATACCTGTTAGCATGTTAAATAGATCCTATAATACCTAGTAGTATAGATATAGTAATCTTTCCCTTAGTTATCTTAATATAACCTATTAGGCATGTATAATAGCGTAGTGCTCGCATTTGCTTCTAGCAGTTCCTTTAATCCTAATATTTATTACTAACTTAACTAGAGCTTTAAGCGCCTTAGGTCCTAAGTAGCCTAATTATTAGTGCTAAAGCTCCTTACTATTATATCTTAGGTAAGTTATCTAGGATTATTAGGGTTATTTAGGCACTATACTTTAGATTATTAGATAAGGAGTAGAGGGCTTATATTCTAGAAAAGTTAAGTTAAACTTGCGCAGTAACTTAGCTAATACAACGCTCTTTTCTAATAATCTAAACTGTAGCTGGAAGTCTAGCCTAAGGAACTAAACTCCTGCTTTAAGCAATTAAGCTTCTAATATAATATTTATATAAAAACCTTCTACTAACACTATATTAGTAAGCACTAAATCTTCTATTTTTAGACCTCTTAGTCTATTAACAGTATTAGGGATTACTCTAGTCCCTCTACCTAAGATTAGAAAAGCTTAAGTTCCTGCTTTAACTATCTTATATCTAACTAATCTAAATAAACTTTCTTCTAGGTAGCTTATATTATTAACTAGGTGTACTGCACCCCTATTGTTAAAGATAGTGCTCTTTAATAGAGCGTAAGCTTTAAAGTCTATAGTTAAATAGATCCTGTTTGTTTTCTCTGCTATTAACATAGGGTTAATTAGTGCCGCCTAGATACTACCTAGATAGGTAATCGCGCTTACCTTACTACTATAATCTTAATTAATAGGATAGGACTTAATTAGAGCTTTTCTTATCTCTTTAAATTTTTAATTCCTATTAATCTTTTTCTTAATCTCTAATTATTAAGTAGTAGTAAGCTTGTTACCTATATTAGTCTAAGCTTTAATAACGTTTTTGTATTTAGGAGGTTTCTATAGGTAGGATCTACTATATAGGTATAAAGACTCCTTCTTAGGTTAATTAGAAGGTGGAGCTCCTATTATTGCAAATACTCTAGGACCCTTAGAGCTTAATCTTATATTATTCTCTTAGAGAAGTAATAAATAGATCTTAGTAACCTATAGGAGGTTATAAGTTAGCTCTCCTATCACTAACTTTTTAATAATCCTTTAAAATATAGTTTAACCCTAATCTAGTAAGATCCTAGTAGATAGAGCTTTAAGATAATCCTGTACTACGAGCTATCCTTTAATATTAGGAACGTTATATACCTTAGCTTGCGCATATAGGATTGTCTACTCCTTCTACTAGTAATTAGCGTCTTAGCTACTTATCTTTGCCTTAGTAAGATAAGCTTTATACTATAATCTTGCTAGTGTTACAGCGCTTAAATTAGTTAGCGCTAGGTTGTTGCAGAGCACTTAGATAAGTGCTTAGAGGGTTACTCTTCCTTAATTAACAAGCTCTATATAGGCAGGGGTAAGGATCCCTTAGTCTACTATATTATTAACCTATATAAAGAGGTTCTAGATTACTAATAACTTTAATACCTAATCTAATAAGTAGGCTTAGTACTATACTATTTAGACTTTATACTACTTGCTTGTTATATTAGATAGCGTAATATCTATTAGCATGCTAGGCTTAATAGGTTTATTCTTAAAGTGGTTGTTAGTATCTAGAGCCCTAGGGTCTACCTCTACCTAGATCCCTTTAGTTAGGGCATAGTATCTAAATTAAATATACTAGGTAGGCTAGTTAGTTAATCTAGTAAGTAGGATATCCCCCTTTAGAATTTAGTCGCTTATAGTAGAAGAGTAATAAGTAAGCTTCTGCTTAAGAAATAGTATAAAAAAAGAGTAAAGCTTGCTAGCTTAGTGTCTAAGTTAAACAATACGCTTAAATAGATAGGACAATCTTTAATAAGGTAAAGCGCGAACTAGGCTTATAACTATAGAAATTTAGATTACTAAGGTTAGGAATAATTTAGGAGATAGATTATTAGATTATATCTACTACAATTAGACTTATATATATAGAGCTTTAGCTACCCTTACTAGAAGGTAAATAATTAGTAAACCTTCCTTACTAGAGCTCCTGCTTTTTGTTAGGCACTTGGTAGTGAGCTAGCAGTTGATTAGATAGTGGGTCATACAGGGGTATTAACCAGGATTGATCGGGATTGATCGGGATCAAGATGCTCCATGATCTAGTTAATATCCCTCCTGCAACAATTATTAGATTATATCTACTACAATTAGACTTATATATATAGAGCTTTAGCTACCCTTACTAGAAGGTAAATAATTAGTAAACCTTCCTTACTAGAGCTCCTGCTTTTTATTAGGCACTTAGCAGTAAGCTAGCAGTTAATTAGATAGTGGGTTATACAGGGGTATTAATTAGGATTAATTGGATCAAGATGCTCCGTGATCTGGTTAATATCCCTCCTGTAACAATTAGGATATAGCTATACCTAGAGGAGTACTACTAGCACTAAGTCCCCCTACTAGAAAAGTTATAGCACTTGCTATTAGACTTATTAAAGAGCGCAGAGCGTAGATAATTTAGACAGGTTTTAGCACGACAAATACTAGGCTCTCTATAGTAGGAGGATCTTAGGGTCTCCTTAGGAGCTAGAGAAGGAGTAGGAGTAGGAGTAGGGGCTTTAGGAGGGGCCTAGGGAGGGGCAGGAGCTAGAGAAGGAGTAAGCGCTAGAGATAGAGATAGAGCTAGAGGAGTAGGAGCTAAAGCAGGGATATACCCCTTCCTTAGCCTCTTAATCTTAGCTAAATATAACTATATATACTCCTTATAAGTAGTATTAATTAGGGCCTCCTTAGTAGTAGTAGTAGCTATACACTTAGCTACTATATAATCTATAATAGCCTTACGCGTAGCTATATACTTAGCCTCTTTAGTAGTATTAGTAGTAGTATGCTTAACCTTAGTAGTAGTAGCTTTAGTAGCGTAGGAGGTATTAAGGGCAGCGCAGGTAGAGTAAGCGTAAGTAGTAGATTTTAACTTTAACTAAGATATAGGTTAGTAAGGATATAGGTATAGTTTAGATCTTTAGGGTTATATAATCTTATAATATAAGCTATAGTAAAAGTTATAATTAGATAGATAGAGCTTAGAGCTTAGTCTAGATAATATTAGCGTGTAAGTAGATAGGCTAAATAAGGAAAATATACTAGCTCTAAACTAGTATCTAAAGAGTGCACTAATTTAACCCTTTAGATATATAACGCTCTAATTAGCTATACTACCTACTAACTACGCGCGTAACTATAATAAAAGATCTACCTATACCTAGGGGGTATGTTATAGAAGGGATAAAAACTAGATTATAGAGCATCTTAATCCTAATTAATCCTAATTAATCCTAGTTAATACCCCTGTATAACCTACTATCTAATTAACTACTAGCTTACTGCTAAGTGCCTAATAAAAGTAGGAGCTCTAGTAAGGAAGGTTTACTAATTATTTACCTTCTAGTAAGGGTAGCTAAAGCTCTATATATATAAGTCTAATCGTAGTAGATATAATCTAATAATCTATCTCCTAAATTATTCCTAACCTTAGTAATCTAAATTTCTATAGAATATTATTTAATAGTAATCTTGCCTAGACCTCGTTCTTTAGCTACCTTTTTAGTATCTAGCTCTACTATTTTTAGAGTAGGAGCAAGAGTTAGAGTAGATATAGTTACCTTCTTAATAGTCTTAGATAGTAAAGGTATAGCTAACTAGGTTACCTCCTAACTTGCTACTATTTCCTTCTTAAGTTTATTAATAGCTTATATTATACCCTTAATTACTAATACTATCTTAAAGATACTATTATAAAACCTACGTAATTTAGATAAGGTAGAGTAGTAAGTAGCTAAAAGGATCTTAGTAGCCTCTATATATAACAACGTAGGTAGGTAGGGCATCTAAAAGGTATCCTATATAACTTAAAGGCATATAGGAGTGCGCGTCTATATAGAAAAGGATAAGATTCCTACACCTATAGGTCTTGTATAAAAGGACAAGAAGAACATGCCTATCCTAATATAGGCGAGCAATTCTGCCTTATTATTACACTATACCCTTAGTTTAAGAATTAGTAACTATAATATATTTAGCTAGGGTTTAGGTAGCGTCTTAAATAGTAGTCTTAAATTACTTAATATCTAACTAAAAAGTAGCTAATATCTCCTCTACCTTATAGCCTTTAGGGGGGTTTATAACTAGACTATAATACTTATTAAGTATATTTTAAAGTGTAACAATAAGGCAGAATTGCTTGCCTATTATTCTATACCAAGTTAGGCCTAATAAAGGCCTGACTCACTAATGTATATAGAGAGCAGCTCGCCTATAATTAGGATAGGCATATTCTTCTTGTCCTTTTGTACAAGACCTATAGGTGTAGGAATCTTATCCTTTTTGTGGAAAATTGGATTACTAAGGTTAGGAATGATTTGGGAGATGGATTATTAGATTGTATCTACTACGATCGGACTCATATATATAGAGCTTTAGCTACCCTTACTAGAAGGTGAATGATTGGTAAACCTTCCTTACTAGAGCTCCTGCTTTTTGTTAGGCGCTTAGTAGTAAGCTGGTAGTTGATTAGATAGTGGGTTATACAGGGGTATTAATTGGGATTGATTAGATTAAGATGCTCTGTAATCTGGTTAATATCCCTCCTGCAACACACCCCCTAGGTATAGGTGGATCTTTTGTTGTTGTGGTTGCGCTTGTGGTTAGTAGGTAGTGTAGCTAATTAGAGCGTTGTATATCTAAAGGGTTAAATTAGCTTACCCTTTAGATACTAACTAGCGCGCCTTCCTTGTTTAGCCTGTGCTTGCGCGCGTAGATATTGCCTAGACTTAGCTCTGTAACTCTATCTACCTAACTATAATCTTTACTATAGCCCGTATTGTAAGATCGTGCAACTCTAAAGATCTAAACTATACCTATATCCCTACTAACCTATGTCTTAGTTAAAGTTAAAAACTGCTGCTTGCGCTTGCTCTACCTGCGCTACCCTTATTGCCTCCCGCGCAGCTAAAGCTGTAGTTACTAAAGCCGCCGCTGCTAAAGAAGAGCGCGCTGCTGCTAAGCGTAAGGCTGTTGCAGAGTGTGCGGTAGCTAAGCGCGTGGCTGCTGCTGCCGCGGTTAAGATTGCGAAGCTAAGGAAGGGCGCTCCTGCTCTAGCTCCTACTACTCTAGCTCTAACTCTAGCTCCCGCTCCTCCCTAGACCCTGTCCCCTGTCCCTGCTCCTGCTCCCTCTCTAGCTCCTAAGGAGACCCTAAGATCCTCCTGCCATGGAGAGCCTAGCATTCGTTGTGCTAAAACTTGTCTAAATTGTCTACGCTTAGCGCTCTTTAACAAGTCTAATAGCAAGTGCTATAACTCTTCTAGTAGGGGGACTTAGTGCTAGTAGTACTCCTCTAGGCATAGCTGTGTCCTAATATATATAATCTATACAAGAATTTTTCCTTTATAACGCTTAGCAAGATCTTATACTAACAAACTAATAGCCCTAAGCTTGCCTAACGTTCTACGCTGTCTTTCCTGGCGAGGAAGCAGGTGGGTAAGAGCTAAGACCTTCTTAAGGATAAGAAGCAGAGGGTCTTGGTGCTCCTTAAGGAGAGCGAGGCTAAGCAGCAGGAGCTAGTAAAAGCCGCTGCTGCTGCCGCCAAGCTTGCGCGCAAGGCTGCTTCAGCAGCTAAGGGCGCCTAGAGCTCCTTATTAG